ACAGGGTTCATGGAACAAGTAAGGGTGAAAGGAGACGGATTCCCTCTCTTTCTATGTTTTTCTATATTTATTTTTTTCCTATATTTCCATTCTCTGGAGGGGGGTCTAAGTAATCTGATGGTGTCCCCCTCCATGATGGGGGGTGGAACGAACTGAGCTTTGAGTCCCTTCYCACCCAAACCATTCTATCATTCTATCATTCTGTGATTCTGGTTATTTCTCCATTGGATGCTGACATAATTGTCTATCTCAGGATGACACTTACTCTATTCTGACACTTAAGTAGTGGATAAAGAGAGTGCGACAGTGAACAAACTTCAGAAGGGATGGGGCAGCATCCCCAGAAATGGGAGTCCCCAGCACGTCTGTGGGTGCCAGATATTCAGTGGTGCTGGCACAGCTCAGGCACTAGCAGAAYAGCGTTGAGATTAATTCCAATGTCCCACATAGACAGTGGGAAGATGGCACATGCTGTGGCCTCTTGGGGTTCCAGAGAAAATTTCTTACCATTTATTTCAGTGTCAACTTCCCAGCACATCAGGGAATGAAACATTAACACAGTTCATCAGGCCAGGATGGGGCTTGTTTCATCTGTTGCCCCTGGCAGGTTACAATARGGGCCCAATAAATTCTGTAACATAAAGAACTCAGAACTTGGGGGTTTGCTGTGCCTCTGGTTTGAGGCAGGGAGTGGAACTGAGATAAAGCCTTCAATCCCTGTTTGCATATAATTGTTTAATTTGCTGCATGCAGTTAACCCCTCTGCATGCCTGTGGGATGGTGTCTGTGAAGTGCTCCCAACACACACAGTTATTTTAGATTAAGAGRTACATTTGGCAAAGCCTGAAGGCCATGTAGGGTCAAATGGAAGTAGCATGGCACCCCTTGCGTCCTGCATTCATTAAAGCCCAGAGGGGCTTACACCCTTGTTTACTTCAGTGTCTCAAGGAGGGTGGAAAGTCCTGGTGGAGGGAAATGCCTGGGAAATGCCTTATTAAGTTGATGTTTAATCAGATTTTTGGTGAGTCTTTGATTGAACATCTCTTGCCCACTATCTCGTTTTTTTCTGGATGGAGAATGATAAGTAAATCCCAACCCTGGAACTGGAGCATGGAAGAAAGGTAGTCATGGGAGCAGCTACCTCTGGGAAAAGTGGGAATGTTGGATTTATAGGCAGCCAGGCTCCAGCTAAATCCTGGATTGTGCTAGCCAACCCCTCCAGCCAGTTGTGGATGCAAACACTAAAGCAGTCCTGAACAAGGGAATAGAAGGATTTCTCTGCAGTGTGGGAGGGAGGGAGCCGTCCTGCAGTGTGAAAGCAGAGCACTGGTGCCTCTTGTATTCATTGCCCTGGTTCTGAGCTCTTTATGTTGTGTGGAAGTCCAGTGAACTGCAGTGGATTTGGCCCTGGCTCTGTGTGCACAGTGGCAGCAGCCCTCAGCTTGCAGGTGACAGAGGGACACACTGGAACCTTGGATGGGGAGGGAAAATAAACCATGGCTTCAAGCCTGAAACGAGTTCCTTCAATTTCTTCTGGACTTTGCAACGTGGATGAGCTGGTGTTGAGGGACTGGAATGGAAATGGGCATCTCCYACTGAAGGGAGAAGCAAGTACTCAGTGCTTGGAACATCTCAGTTACATCCAAATGTTGTGGGTATGGAAGACTTGCCGGGGCACTCACATGCATGGTGTGACTGTTCCTCATCCTCGTGCAGGGCATTCTCCTGGGAAAACTAAAATGCTCTTCTGTCAGCCAGCTGGCCCCTGGCCTGCTCTGAGCAGACAGTGTCCCTATACTCACACATGACCAGTATGACCAGCACTGCCAGGCTCACCTGATCCGGTGTAGTGTGTTGGGTGGTTGGAGGGCTGCAGGTACCGGTAATCTTCACTGAATTTGGGCCTTTATTCCATGTTCCAGATGGGCCCCTGCCCATTTTYTTGTATAGTGTTTATGGAATTCTCATTGCTGTTACGTGAAGAYTGACGTGGAACACAACCACTGAGATTTGCACATCTTCACCCATTTCATATATTAATATTTCAACCCCAAAGAAGCCTCCCTGCCASCACATCCACCCTCAGCACAGTGTCTGACTGACCACCAGGCTGCAAGGAAATGGGATGTCTTGGCCTGTTTTTTGACCTTGGTCATTAATTTATGGACTAAAAATCCAGACAGCTTTTTGGACCAACCAGGTCTTGTTTTTTTGAGTTTTTACCCTTTTTGAGCCAGGGGGTGCTAAAGTCTGTAGTAAGAGCTATGCCAGTCGTCACTGGTTGGAGCAGGAAGTCTTCATACCAATATTCCAAGAAGGGAATTACAGGGAAAATAGAACATTGGAAGAGTCTTGCTTCCAGTTAAAACAGACTTTTAAATTAAATCTAAAATAAGTGTCCTACAAGCTGTTAGCTCTYGACATTTCTTCATTGCCCTTCCTTAGGTGAATGGACTTTCTTCCAGGGGAAAATTTGTCCCCTCTGCAGGGAAAGCAGCACCCAATGAGCGTCCTGGCCTTGCTGTGACATTCTGCGGGTTCSCAATGGCACGTGGTGGCTCAGCCCTGGCACACAGGAGTTAACAGGGCCTTGGGTGGGCGGGTGGAAAACAAGCTGTGAAATGGAAGAAGGTCAGGCTCTTGGAGGAGGTTGTTCTGTTGCAGATGGTTTTAAGTTATCAGTCCCTCCGGGGGAGAGGCCTCAAGAAAGCGGTAAAACCAGGGCTGGAAATAAGGCAAAGCATGGTCAGGCTTGTGGGATCAGTGGAACAGGAGCAATTGTGRCCCTCCTGGGACTTGCTAGACTCCACTGTCTGTCTAATTAGGAATTCCTCAGTTGTTCAGACCCAACAGCTAAATATGATTGCAGACTAAACACCATTGGCACTTTTCTGTGAGGAGCAAATGCCTGGAAAGGGAGAGCACATGGAAAAAGGAACAGCAAAAATCCYCATAGCCTCTGGATAGCTCAGTCCCTCTGGGATCACTCTGCTCCTGCTGCAGCTGAGGAGAGCTGAACTGAGGTTTCAGTAAAGGCAGGTAATTGCTTCCTGTGGGAGCATTCCCAGGGCTCACACAAAGTGTTACTGTCTTTAGAGACTTGTCTGGCCATGGAATTTATTAAAGGTGCAGCATCCAGTCAGCAAACTGCTGTCCTGGACTAGCAGAACTGATGTCTGAGGGAGCATCCTTGGGATGGTCATTATCCAAAGCAGGTGAAWGTGCTTTGGGAATCCCACACTGTTAGAAAACAGTGGCTGCTACTGAGAGGATTTTCCAGCAGCAATCCAGATTTCCCAGATCCTTGTTGTCTTATTTTCTTGTCTTGTCAACTTTCAAATGGTTTATATTTGATTTTGTAATTGCTTCTACTTTTATATCACTGCAAAGATAACAGGGGATGTAGAACTGAGGATCTTAGCCCAGGTACCAGTGTGAGCAATTCTATTTTCCTTGTTAATATGGTTTTCTCATGAACTGGGAAGGCTTAAACACTCTCACCAGCAACAATGATCAAAAATAAAGAAGGAATGAAGAAAAATTCTCCAAAATTACATTTTCACGTTTATCTTTTAAATTGTTGAGTGAAATGGTCATTCCCATCTCTTCAAGGGAGAAGTTTTTAATACCTGCATGAAGATCTTCTTTCTCAGACCAGTGGAAGTGGCTCTCTTTGTGGTTCTTCTGTCTTTATGAATCTAACAGCAGTCTGAGCTGTGGCATCAAGGGGGTTTCTGTGTGTTCCCTTCCCATTACCCTCAGATTTTAAAATTACTATCTCCTCATAGGAAACCAGAGGAAAACCTGTTCTGGTTCTGCCAGCCCAGACAGCCTGTGAACCATGGTCATCACAGTAAAAACACTTCTCTTGCCATCCTCTGGAGCCAGCCCTTCCTCTCCAACTGAACACGAGATTGAATATGAATTTATTCACACAATGTATTGGAAAGCAATGCCTGTGGGCTCTCAGGCAGACGTGAGTGAAAGCAGCCTTCAGGCCAAGCACATTTTGTTGCCTGCAGGTCAAGCTGCTGGGAGAAGGGAACCTGCAAGTCCCAAACTGGCCATCTCTGGGAACATCAGGAATTAAGCAAAGGTTCCTCTGCTTTAGGAGAGCTTTCTGAGTAGAGGAAGGAAGGTTTACAAGTTGCAAGGGCAGACTGGGAGCAAAAGATTTGGGGTCACAGTGCACACACTTGCACTGCTGGAGTAAACCTGTCCATGGAAATCACAGATCCCAGAGTGCTTTGGGTTGGAAGAGAACTTCAAGATCATCTAATTCCAACTCCCTGCCGTGGTCAGGGAACCTTCCACTAGTGGAATAAGTGGCCTTATTGCTCTTCATGGGAAAGAGATCAGCCTGTGGCTGTGTTGGAGGGAAAGGAGCAACTGCGGTGTGTCTTTTGGYTGCAGCAGTGAAGCTTTTCTAGGAGCAACTGGATTTCTTTCAGGCCTCTTGGAATAGGACAAACTGAGGGATTCTTCTGCTGAGGGCCAAGCCCAGAGCATGGCTGGCCCATACACAGATGCAATAATTCACTGGTTTTACCTCTCTGCTAAGAAACTGTGAGATCTCCTAAGGATTCATGGCCTCAGAGAACCCATCTGCTGGGGTGTCCCACACAACTTGGTGTACAGCCTGTCCTTTCCTTGGTTCTGCACAAATATTTGTCCTTCTTTGAGGCACAAGGTCTTGCATTGGAGATGCAGCATGGCCTTGACTGATGGTCGCATCTGGCCAGGCTGGCCCCTGGCCGTGGCTGGCCTTGCCAAGGACTCTGGGGCACCTCCCCTGGGCTGGGGGAGTGTGGGACTATAATGAGCCCCCAGGGCTGCTCCAGCTCAGAGTGGAAATACCTGGCAGCTCCTGAGCACAGCCTCATCTTCTGTGAGAGTGGAGAGGTGTGAGGGGGACAACAGTTTGTTGTTTCTTTTGCCATTTAGTGACATTTACATGTGACTGATGAGGGGCTTCTCTACCTTCCCACAGATCACCGATATCTGGGCCCAGGGGACCTGCTGGACAGCTATGAAGAACTCTGTGCTCTGAGCAGACAAAGCCGCCGTGGGCCCAGAGACGCAGCAGTGACTTCCAGAGGATCATCTCAGAAGCTCAGCCTGTACAGTGGTGAGTTTGGTCATGTCACCACTGATCTGTATGGGGGTGATGCAGAGCTGGGAGTGGGAAGTGTCACCTTTGCTGTCGTACTGGATGTGACTTTGTGTTGCAGTAGGTCTGAAAATGGTTGTAAACATTCTGGGAGTAGTGGGCTCCTGTAGTACCTGTAGGGTATGCTGACTTCCCTGGATTTCCCTGAGAAGATGCTACGCTGTTGAAGATCTGCTGTCACTGTCCCTTGGAGCTGGCAGGGGATTTGTGGCACAGGTATGCTGGGGTTCCTAAGGGTTTTTATCCTGGACCCATCCTTTCTTGGGACAGTGAGTAGGGATATATTACCCTTCCTTCTTGGCAGTGAGACTCTGTTGTGTTTGCTCTGTGATACCTGCTGTGAATCTGTTGCCTGTATAAAAATCTATTTCTGTTATGAAAAATCTGTGGGAGTGTTGTGGCCAATGGAAAGCATGGACTTACCTGTTCTCATGCTGCGATCCTATCGCTGCTGCTCCAAAGGAACATGGATTCATTGTCCTGCTCACTGGTGGGGCTTCATGGCTTTTGCTGCCTTAGAAAATAGGAATGGYGTGTGTCTCCTCTTGGCCTTTGGTATCAGTGCCACTTCCATACTTAAATGGGTACAGGGTGTCTGGCTTGTGTGTCTGTGGATCCTGAGCAAGCACTTTGGTCATGTTCATAATCCCTGGGGCCGAGGAGAAGATCAGGTCAGGTATAGATTTACCAAAGGGATAAGTCACACAAAATCTGATCCTTGGGCATTCCTCCCCACTCTGCACAAGACCTCCATTCATCACTGGAGAGCTTGTGACGTTCCCCCTCTGTGACCTCCTCAGAAGTTTTCATGACGTTTCCTTTCTGCAGCTGTTTGGCCTTCAGTTCTGTGGTTCTAACCAAAGCATTTGAGATTTTTCTTTAAAATTCATCTGAAATGGGAAGACTCGTGCTCAAAATATTCCTTCAAGTTAACAAAGAAACCACAGAAAGTCAATCCAAAGCTAAAAGAGAAATTTTAGGTGAAAGATATTGAATATCTGGGTCTCTGGGGTAAAGCACAGATAGAATTTGACTGAGCACACAACAATTTGGTATTTTGTTTAGAACATTTTCTGTGTCAGGACTGCCCTGATTTTCATGATTTACAAAGGGAAATTTGAAGAGAATTACAAAGAAAAAAGCTGTGTCAGGGCAGGGTTAGGTTGGATATCAGGGAAAGGTTCTTCCCCCAGAACATTCCGGGCACTGCCCAGGCTCCCTAGGGAATGGGCACTGCCCCGAGGCTGCCAGAGCTCCAGGAGCTTTTCGACAGCGCTGCCAGGCCCAGGGTGGGATTGTTGGGGTGTTTGTGCAGGGYCAGRGGTTGGACTGGATGATCCCTGCGGGTCCCTTCCAGCTCAGGGAGTTCCATGATTTTATGCTCCTATCAAACAGACTGCTGCCTCTGTTGCTGATTACTTTGTTATTAATGGTTTAAGTCTGTGCTAATGGCTTAGTCCCTCCTGTGTCTGGGCTTGTGCAATGCCTGTGGCACATCCCAAGTTTCTGCACTCATCCTCTCCCCACAAACCACTCACTGCCCGTCACTTCCCTACACGTTTGGCTAATTTTGCTCACCAGTCTGCCAGCAATTATGTCACATCTTGTCTGTGTTTTGCACTGTCTGATGCCCATAAATAACTCCTTGTGACACCCTTGGTACCTACAAATCCTGTGACTCCCAAATGTTTTGCTTATTCACTCAGCTGATTTATGGCCCCTGCACTGGTGTCCAGTTAGGCTCACAGGGAATGGGCTCTTGCTGTGTCTTATCCAGACAGATTGATGGACACACAGGATGAAGGGCACCCTCCCACCCTGCCAGGCTTGCGGCTTTATTTTGGGACATTAAAAATATTGTCAGTAGCCAAGGGCTTGCTCTAGCTCTGCACTCAAAGCCATGAAAGCTTTGCCCATGTGTCCAGTGGGGACATCCCTGCAGCTGCAAAGCAGACAGACCTCTGCCTGGAATGAGGAATGACCAATTGGAACAAGGCTTATGCATGACAGGGACGTGTTTTACWGAGGAGTGAGAGTGTTGAGCTGCTCCCAGTGCCACCCCATTGTGCTAGAAACATTGGTCAGCAGCATTCACCTTGGCAAGGGTGACTCCCTGCCTTGGAAGCATTTATTCCGTTGAATAATCATCRTCATGTGGACACCAATGTTTCAAGCATCTGTGACTGAAGATATGAATTACACTATGACAAGTTTTGGAAGGCTTTTGCTTTCTCATTTTAAGAGCTCTGTGATTTGTTTTTTTAGACTAAACTGGAGTCAGAACAAAACTATGGTCCTTCATCTAACAARGGAGTAGAAATTTTACAAGTAAGCAGGGGTAGGGTTTAATGACTCTGTGCCAACCAGGATGTTATTTTCTGGTCCTTATTTAATACACAAGACACTGGAAAATGCAACGTGGTTGGATTCATTACACTGGAGGAATGTTCCCTTCATACCCAGCACTGTTATTTTAACCCTGCAATCTATGTGTGGCATTAACATGCTTCCTTCTCAYTCTGCAGAAGTCAAGAATTCACAGGAGTTTAAGGACTCACAACAGCTTATCTTTAATCCAAGTGAATTTCTGAAATCTTTAAGACTGTAAACTCAGGAGTTTATACATAGTGCACATAGTGCGTGTTGTGCACTGAGAGATGGGGTCTGTTACTGCCTGTGGAAATACTGTCAGTATTTGAGGTTTTTATCAAACTGGGTTTGAATGTAGCCTTCTCTCAGCAGTTTCTAGTTCACATGTCCCCTGTCACACCAGGCTGAGAATGAAACATTCTGAGGTGAAACATTTGGTGATATCAGGAAAGRCTTTGGAGATGAGTTTGGACCATGCTCCTGTTTTAGGGTAGCTGCTCCTCACCATTGCCCAGCTTGGAGGAAAGGAGTCAGGAGTAGCAAAGAATAAATGCAAGTGTAATATAAACAGAGCTTAGGCGAAAGCTGCTGCAAGCTGGTGTCAGGTCATGCTGTTTGGTGAGTGTTGTAAGCATCAGGCATTCCAGCTCCAGGAGTGGTGACATGTTTAGGATGACACAAGAGGCAATAGGGGATTATGTTTGTTGTTAATACGGTTCCGTACTTTGGAGGACAAATTAAATCCACCATAAGAGGGTGATCAAGARCCTCTCAAAATCTCATCTATTCACTGTGCATTGTCCTGTCTGGGCCAGGAAAGGGTGCCCTGGGATCAGCTTCTTTTCAGTTCAGTTTTGTGTGTTTTCCTTCCCACGAGCTCTTCATTCTCAAGTTCTAAGACATCTCCCAAGCATTTGCAGAAGTAACTGTGTGATGKGCCAGAGCAGCAGCACACAGAGGAAATGGAAACCCCTTGTTGGGATGGGAGCAGCAGAGGTCACCCACAGCAGGCTGAGAGGGGACAGGAGAGAGGGTTTGGCTGGTGTTTACACAGCCCATGCCGCATTTCCCAGGGCTGTTGTCTCAGTGCATTTCCACGGAGGCCAGGAAGGCTCACAGAGATGTCAGTTATTGATGAGATTTGTAGAGTGTGCATAGTCCCAAAACAAGATTTATGTTAAGGACAAAGTGGAGCCAGGGATTTGTCGTAGGGAGGTGTCTGTGGCTTTTTGCAGCTGCTGAGTAATGGCAAAACGAATACCAGTTCAGAAGCTGATGTATTGTCGGTGACATTCTCTTCGGCCTGTCTGTGGGACATCCAGCACAAATTACTTTTGTTCACTTTGGCCCATCTATAGGCCATACAGCACAAATTATTTTTATTCACTACCTTGTCTCTTAGCTGAAACCAGTTCTCACCCAGARAAAACAGCTCAGAGCTGAATGTGTAACAAGGAGATGTTGAGGTTATCCCCAATGTTTTCATCAGGCGCCAGTTGCCAGAGCTCAGCTGGATGATTGCCTGGTGTAGGTGTGCTCCCAAAGTCCCTGTAACTTTCAAAACTGATGAAAGTTGCATATTCCTGTGTCGCTCTCTTGACTGAACAAGTGCATAGGGTAAACAGAGACCCAGCAGTAATGCCACAGGGAATCCAATCCAATTGCTCTTTCAGAGCTGCAGTAACTCTATAGTTCCTGAGCATCTCTCATCTGACAGGGAATCTGCCTTCCCAGCTTGCTGCGAGGCAGGGATGTGTTACATTACACATTGTCCAATTTAGAAGACAGGGAAAGAGACTCCTTTGGCACAAGGTTCCCTGAGTGATCCATAACAATAACTCCTGAATGCCAAGCTCACACTTCACTGTTCCCTTCCAAAGCCTCTCAGGTCTGTTGCTAATTTAACCAAGCTAATTGAGATCAGGATGTACCTCTGCTCCATGCCCCAGTTTAGACAGCCATCTCTGTGGTTTTCTTCTCAGCAACTGCTCTTGCTATCCATCAGAACCCACCACGTGAGTGCCATGTGGTAAGTGTTTGCCTGAAACATGAGAGGAGGTCTTTAGAGGAAAACCAGGTGACACAGAGGGATGCTGCTGGATGTGTACATTTTCCATCCAGCCTGCTAATCATCCTCAAACTCCGGCTGTGTTGGACATGACAGGCTGATTGGCAGGTCTGTCTCAACTTGGCTGCAAGGATGTGGCAAGTGAGGAAGGGCAAATGGTGTCACTAAAGGGAGCAGTGTTGAGTTCTGTTCTTTCCCTTGTGAACTGTAAATTTTTTGTCTTTTTCAAAGGAGAACTTGTAATCTGTTTGTGCTGATCCCAGAAAGTTGAGCAAAGCATCATGACCAGCCACCAGACAGGTGAGAGAACAGACACAGCTCTGAGCACACCCTGGGGAACACCRGGGAATAACCCCAGCTTGCTTTTCTGGCTTGAGCGTGGCAGGGACTGACTCCCCATGTTCTGACTTGGCAGTGGAGCCTTTCTCATGTCAGATTTTGTATTTGGAACAAGAACCGATRAAAAGCTTTCCCTGTCCAAACCATCACTGGAGCTGTGAGCTGAGGTGCTCCTGGATTAGGACTGTGATTGCAAAATTTCCCACTCAGACACAACCCTGKCAAAGCCACCACAAAATCCCAGACCTTAATGCCCAAACCTTGGGACACATTTACAGCCTGTGGCACTGGAATGGGTGGGGTCTTTGTGGTCCAAGAGAAGTTGAGCAGGAACAGTTACTGCTCTGCAGGAAGCAATGCAGACCGAGAGATTCTTTCTGAAGGACAAACATGTTATGTTAATTGAATGTATTTTTTCTTGCCTTTCTAGTAAAAATCTTCAAGAAATCTTCTATCCCAGGAGTTGTTATCACACAGTTTGTGAATGATGTTCCACAAGGATGCAGTACACCTGATTTTGAGAAGAAACCAGTCACTCTTACACTGCAGGAAGGTGAGACTTGGCAAGCAGGCAAAGCCACAGACCTGGAGCTTTAACTCCATGTCTCACCTACATGAAAAAAAAATTATCATAATTAAATAAAGCAAGTTTCTAAAGTGATTTGACATATCCAGAAAAAAAAGTTGTGTGGTCAAAGTCTTTGTTACACTGTTGAAAATGCCATCAGTCCTGACTGARGTCTCCTGAGTTCTCACTATGTGTATGCAATACCAAAATCTGGCTCTTATACATTCAGCAAATCCTGTGAATTCTGCAGGGAACTCTCACAGTTAAGATTTTGCAGCAAAAGATTAAGCACATTGAAAAACTTGGGKTTTTTTTGTTTCCTTTTGAACTGTGTTCAGCACTAAAATCAGCTGCTTTTTAAAGTAAGATACAGTGACTGCAGGTGCTATTTAGGCTTAGCAGCCTCCCAATGCCTAAAGGGGCTCCGGGAGAGTTGGACAAGGGATGGAGTAACAGGACAAGGGGGAATGGCTTCCCACTGCTGAAGGGCAGGGTTAGATTGGATWGTGGGAAGGAATTCCTCCCTGTGAAGGTAGGGAGACCCTGGCACAGGTTGTGCAGAGAAGCTGTGGCTGCCCCTGGGTCCCTGGAGGTGTCCAAGGCCAGGTTCAATGGGTCTTGGAGCAGCCTGGGATAGTGGAAGGTGTCCTTGCCCATGGGAAGGGGTGGGACTGAAGGGGCTTTGAGGACCCTCCCAGCCAAGGCCATTCCCTGGTTCTGTGGTGATTCTCTAAGGAACAGCATAAGGATCTTGCACAGAGCAGGCAGCTGATGAGCCAAGAGCTGGAGTCAGTGAAATGCCTCCCAGGGGTCTCTCTGCATCTGCAGAGAGTCCCTTTGTTTTTGTTTTTTTTTCTCTTGGTGGAGTGGCCTGAGGACATTGTGCAGGTYCTTTTCCCTGCCAGTACTGAACCAGCAGCCTGGATTTCAGTGTTCCACACTCACCTGTGGATTTCCAAGAGCCACTGAGGTTTTATGAAGGAGCATGGTGGTCTCTAGTGGAACCTGTCCCTCCTCCTCCACATGGACATTCAGACATGAAACAAGGTTCCTGGCTAAGTTTTCATCTGTCTAAATTTTCACCAGTGTAAATTTTCCAAGTTAGTTCATTTGCAGCAGGTTCTTTGCAGTTCCCATACAAATTATCATGCATTCAGGTAATGGTCACTGTAATTCTGTGTCTGTGCAGAGGCACCGTAAGGGCCTTTGATTCTGTCATCTTCACCCCAGAGTTCAATACATGGCTGAGCTGATTCTCCTGGCTGGGTGGCCAGTGACAGGTGACAAGAGTGGGAAAAAGTGGCCAAAAAGGCTATAATGTAACACGGATAATCAATTGGAATCAGACTTTAATAAGTGATAATACTGCAACCTTCAAGGTTGTAAAAGGCCTTTTGATAAGGATCCATTGGCAGGATCTTATTCCATCAAATACATTTGTTGGTGGTGAACTGCAGAAAATTTGGGAAATATTGCCAGGCTTTCCAGGGAGAATCTTAACAGTGTTAGTCACTTTCATTGAAAGATGAAATACTTTCATAGAAGATGAAAGTATTAAAAAAAAAGATAGTGATCATTTCACATGATCCTGCTCTGTGTCCATGGATAACTCACCTCCATTTCTATTCCCACTCACCCACACAAGTAATTTCTCTGACTTATTTCCCAGTGTGCCCTGTGGTTTTGGGACCCTTTTGGAGAAGAGATTTGTACTGGCCAGTACAGGAAAGTTGTTGGAGATTTCTGTGGTGGGCTGCAGGGTACTCAGAGATTAACCCCTTCCTCCCTTTCTTGTCTCTTCAAACAGGCTTTGGAGTGCAAGGTGGTGCCAGTTAAAGATTGAAGAAGCAGTGGGATTTTACAGAGAATATGTGTGATGAGAASGGGTTTGGACATTTCATAGGTCAAAAGCAAGTCTATGTTTAACTTGCTGTAGGGCTGCAGATTTCAGTGATAGTCAGATGTCAGCAGCCGCATCTGGCAGGTTAACACCRTGTTTTAAAGGCCTTTTATGATTGAATACAGACAAAACCTGAATTTTTGATGTGCAAAACAAAAAGAATATTCCTGCCTAAAATAACAGAAATTACTCACTCTGGGGATCACTCTTGATAAAATAAGGGACCAGGCCTGAGAGTTCCAATGTTCAAGCCATCTTAAATAACTACATTCTTGCCTCTTTTCAAAGGTAAAAATGCTGTTTTCAGAGCTGTGGTCAAAGGTGTCCCAGCCCCTGAAGTGAAATGGTCACGTACACGGAAAGGAATGGATGATCCTGCCAAATATGAAATGTCCTTCAATAGTGCTACAAATGAATTCATTCTGCAGGTAAAGACCAAATATTTCAGAAAGGACTTGTGGAACTGAGAGAAACAGATAAGAAAAACCTGCCATGGGATGAGGGGAAGCAGAGGGGTAGGCACTGAGCTCTGATCTCTGTGAGCAGAGGGAAGGGCTGGAGCTGTGTCAGGGCAGGGTCAGGCTGGATCTCAGRGAAAGGTTCTTTCCTCAGAGGGTGAGCACTGCCCAGGCTCCCCAGGGAATGAGCACAGCCCCAAGGCTGCCAGARCTCCAGGAGCATTTGGACAATGCTCTCGGGCCCAGRGTGGGATTGTTGGGGTGTCCTATCCAGGAGCTRGACTGGGTGATCCTGTGGGTMCCTTCCAACCCAGGATATTCCATGATTCTGCACATCCCCAGCTCTGAGATAACACAAAGATAAGCAAACAAAGCTTTTTAGAGCCCTTCTGGGAACAGAAGAAGCTCTGAGGTGCCACTGAGTAGCTGCTTTGTGAGAAGCTGAAGGTGTGTGAAGCCCAGCCCTTTCTGTGAGCAGTTTCTGTGCTCTCCCTTTGAAGATCAAGAGCCTGGTTCTGGATGACAGTGATCTGTATCGCTGCTGTGCTGTCAATGCCTATGGAGAAGCCTCGTGCTCTGCTGGCCTCAGGATCATCCAAGGTAGGACTGGCAGCTCTGGGCTCCACAGGCCCTGTGGTCCCACTCAGTGGCTGTGCTGTCCCCTGGGGTGGGTGTCCTGGCCTTGGTCTGAATATTTTTGGTGTGATTATCTGGTGTTCTCCTCACTGGTGGCTCCCTGACATTGTGAGCTTTAAGGCAAGGGAGAAGAAAGTGGAATTGTGTTCACTGCACTGGGCCATAATCAGACACCCTGGTTTTAGTACTGAACTGTCTCAGTTCTTTCTTTATGCTGTTGAACAAATTAGTCCTTTGGGAGGGATCCATCCCTCTGCAGCTGTCTCTGGGCCTCAATTCTGCTTCCCTTTATAGTCAGTGCAGAGAAATGAGCACTTTGTGGGTCAGATATAACTGATACCCTTGGAATCYGCTGGAGGAGAAGATGGATTATATTGGAAGTGGCCATGTCACCTCTGTGCCTTTCAAGTAGGTAGAGAAAGCACATAACTTCAGTTGCTATTTCCACCTTGGCTCTCCATCTCTAAAACAAGATGTTGGTATTTCACACCATTGCTTAAGCCATAAAACTGGTAGGGCAAAAATGTGTGAAGTCTCCAGCAAGCACAGAATTAATGACAATAGAAATAATTTTTGCTGGGAGCAAATGTCACATTGACAAGGAAGTCCAAACTGGGATTCCCTCTTGCACTGGTAACAGACACAGAGGTTTCATGACTCATTGGTTCGTTGCTGTTAAGCTCATCTTGTTCATCCTATGGCTTGTTTTCCTTCTGTTTTCTCTTATAAATGATCAGTTGGCTTTAAGAAGAAAACAAAATACGTTCCTGTTCATCCTGCTGATCGTAAGTTAACGATCTCTGTGTATTATATGATCGGGGGGAGCAGAGTTAATAATGCTGTCTGGCACACTACTACTAACCCAAACTTGTAGAGACTGGAGCAAGAGAAGGATTAATGAGCCTCTAATGTTCTGTCATCTATGTCTGCTTGCTCTTTACCTTTGGGTAAAGTGATGATTTTAGACACAACTTTGAGCTGTTTTAATTAATGATTGTGGAACCATTAGTGGATTTGGGGATGTCAAACACAGCTGGATCAAACACGTTAACATGGCTGAAAATAGTGGGTCTCTGGAGGGAAGCCCCTTAGGGAGACATGAACTTCACTGGTATTCAAAGGATGAGCATGGCAGTGAGAACTGACTAAGTTTCATGACAGTTTTTTGGTAAAGTGTGAAAAAAACACCAGAGATGAAGAGCCCAGCAGAATGACCTTGTTGTCATTGGCTACTCTGCATTAACTTCTTTTGGGGGATGTATTTCACTGTGCTGGGTATGTGACTGTTGCTTCCCCTTCTCCTGTAACAGAGCTCAGGAAGACACTCCAGGACTCCAAGAAGCTGCTGAAGAAGCGGTGAGTGGGAGGGCCATGCTCCCACTTCTGGATGTTTCTTGGTGGTAGGGGACAGCTGTAGAGACTTTCTAGAGACTTCTTGTGTCCAAAATTGTGGTGAGACTCCCAATAGAGAGATAGCCCGAAGAACTTGGTGCTGCCTGTGGTGCTGAGATAAACACACAGTTCCAGCCACATTTTGAGGGGTATTTCCTCTGCACCACAAGGTTCTGACTGGGAAACTCTTTCTCTGCTTCTCTTTGTTTAGTTCATGAATAACTTCCCGGCTAAGGGACAACTCTGCACGCACTGATGGCTGTGGCTGCACAGGGACTGAGCCTGGCTCCCAGCCCAGCCATGCTACCAGGTGCATATGGCAGAAAGCTTCCCTCCCCAGGTGGGAAGCTCTAAGGATTGCCTGCTGATAATGATCTCTGTGCAGAGTCCTGAACTGTGCTAGGAAATTACCTGGCTTGGGCCAAACTGCCAGGGTCTCTGGTGATAATTCAGCAGTGTGGAAGCTGTTCCCTGGCACCATTTAATTTGTAATATAGATGGAGAAAACCTGCTCTGGAAGAGTCCCAGTCTTTCCTGCCTGCACCTGCAGGGCCAAGTGAACTATAGGAATGATAGAGAGATGGAAGGAAATTAGGGATAGAAAAGCAAGACATCTTGTTGTCTGTCAAAATGTCTGGATGTTTTCCCCCCTGGTTCTCAGGGTCACAGCTCCAAAACCCAAACCCCTGGACAAAGAAGCTGTGTGGCAGCTGTTGCTTCATGCAGATAAGAGAGATTATGAAARAATCTGCATCAAATATGGAATTGTTGATTTCCGTGGGATGCTGAGGAAGCTGCAGGAGATGAGGAAGGACACAGAGAGTGAACAAGACAAGGTAAAATAAACCAAAACCACTCATWTTTAACAAACAGCATCTTCTGAAAACAGGCTCAAGCTTCCTAAATTGCCTTAGAGATGAACATTTTGTTGTATGACAGTATGATTTATGACAATGCTTTAAAGAAATCCCACTTCTTTACTCATGCATGTGAAAATCCTGATGAATTTTTTGAAGCTCAGTTCAGAGATTTTAGGACATGCTGACCACAGGGGTATTCAGTTGTCTCTGATAAGAATTTGGACCCCCAAATAAAAGTTACATGTCGAAGAGTAAAAATTGGCCTTCACATACAGGGGCACTTAGACACCTGGATGGGCAGTGTGGGAATGTCCAGGAGGCAACACATTAAAAATAATTTATATACTGGAGRAAGCTGTGGCAGCTTACAGATACTGTAACTTACTGTACCAGAGCTGTACTTACAAATACTTCTACTACATAATGTTAGAAGTAGCTCTTTAAGTAACTCAACAGCTTAAGAACTACTGTCATGGCAGCTTTATAATTTACTAGGTTCTTTGCTATTTCTTTGCAGTTAATTCAGAATCTCAAAAACTTTGAACACATCAGAGTCAACAAAGATGGAAATGCTACGTTCAGCCTGGAGATGGAACTGAAAAATAGCAATAGCAATGTTTACCTGCTCAAGGTGAGGGGGATGAGTTGGGCAGCAGCAGCTCAGAGCAGCCCCTCAAATGTTCTACAGAAAAAGCTTCATYGCTGGGCAGTGGCTAAGAGCAAACAAATGCCTTTAAGTTGCCTGTCCTTTGAAGATCCTTGCACGGTTAAGGAGCAGTATTGGTGTGGGGTGATGTTTGGTGTTCAATATCCCTGGGGATTTGAAGATCCAAGTATAGGGGATGCAGTCAGTGACTGACATCCTTGTGACTTCAGGAAATTCATAGAATAGTCTGAGTTGAAAGAGATGTTTTAAAGGTCAAGGGACCTTAAAACTCATTTCATTCCACCCCCCTGCCATAGGCAGGGACACCTTCCACTGTCCCAGGTTGCTCCAAGCCCTGTCCAACCTGACCTTGCACACTTCCAGCGATGGACAACCATAGCTTCTCTGGGCACCCTGTGCCAGGGCCTGACCACCCTCATGGGGAAAAGCTACTTTCTTTTATCTAACCTGACCCTCCTTCAGTTTCAGATAATCACCCCAATAGTATCTTTCAGGCTACAGAAATCCTGCCATTTCATGTAAATTTTATTCACTTTTTCAAATGTGTTGTTGCAYGATAACACCCTTTGTGAAAGAAAATCTCAGATGTAAAACATCCCTCTAGATCTGTAGTCCCACTGATGGGATCCCCAGGTGCCCCATGCTGGGGATATTTTTTTGGAAGATACGTTTCAGTCAAACTGTGGTTGGAGGTTTTAATCCACGGGAAATGAGAATTCACTGAAGGAGAGGACAGACTAACTAGGAACTTCTGAGTCAAGCATATGACATGAAGTCTATCAGCCACAATTCGGAGAATGTAACCCAAGTGTGCTGCAGAAAGTGGTGAACTCTCCTGCTTGTTCATCTATGAGGATGCTGAAATCTAAGCAAATAAAGTGCTTTGTCTTTGGAGCTGCCATAACTGTGTATTAGTTAAGCTTCAGATCCTTATGTGTGTAGCCAAGAGCTGCTGTTTTGCCGAGTTGCAGAGCCTTGTGCTTTGTTGTATGCAGGACTTCCTGCCCAGACAGTGCCTGTGCACTGCAAAGAGCCCTGGGTGCTGTTTACTCATTTATTTCAACAAGGGTATTGGAGAACCAGCCTGTCCTCATTTGTTTGATATGCCTGGCATTGGCTGAGCCTTTGTGAAGACACCCCTTCCCTTCCCTTCCCTTCCCTTCCCTTCCCTTCCCTTCCCTTCCCTTCCCTTCCCTTCCCTTCCCTTCCCTTC